GTTAGGGTTAGGGTCCGGTGAGTTCCATGTATTATTGTCGTCGTAGGATTTCCGCGGTCGTGAGCCGTTTTGACGTCCATGACCTCGACCCCGATTTCCACCGCCACGGCCTTGTCCTCGTCCGTAGCCTCCACACTGACTGGGGTTGCTTTCACCAAAGCCTGTGCCGCCATGCTGTCCGCCATAGCCGCCGTGAGTACCGCCATGGGTGCCGCCATGAGGGTTGCCGTCGGCTCGGTTCATGAGGAGGGTCGTGGTGCTCGAGTCGGTGGGGCTTATCCATTGTCGATCCAGAAGCATGAGGGCAGAGCGGACCTGCAGAAACGTCGGCATGGGATCTTGAAATTGCATGAATGATGTTTCGGCCTGAAGATCTGCTAGGAGGCCACAAAGCATCTGAAGCACGAGTTGGTGTTGGAGACTGGTGCATCAACATCGTCCAGCCAGTCGGAAAGATTTTGCAGTTGTTGACAATAAGCCGCCATGGTGGAGTTTCCCTTGATTGTTGTACGGAATTCATGCTCTAGTTGCATGGCTCGGGCATGTTTGTTGTCGTGGATGACTTTCCAGAGAGTAGAGGCAGTAGAAATAGAGGAGATGACCAGATCTGAGACTTCATCGGTGATGGTGGAGAGAATCCAACCCTGGAGAAGAGCGTCGAGTTGAACCCATTCGTTGTTGTCATCAGAGAGGGGGACGACGGAGCCGTTGATATTGCCTTGGAGGTTGAATTGCCGAACCAGAAGAAGAAACAATCGACTTCACTCTTTGTAATTAGGTTGGGAGAGACTAAGTTGAACGGGGATATGGAGTTTCACATTAGAGACTGTTGTGAATGCATGATGGGGAGGTTTGGAGGAGATATTTTGAGAGGTGACTTCACTGACTTCGGCCATGGTTCTGAGAAAGAGGAGAGGGGATCGCCAGCGTGGGGAAGAGTCGGCGTGGCCGAGGGTTGAGCTGCCGCAGAAGGACGGCGATGCTTGGGTGGGAGGCGACGATTTTGAGCCGAGAGGGAGAGAGAGAAGGGAGATGAATTAGGGTTTTGCTATTTTAGGATCTGATACCATGTAGAAAGGTTAATTTTCTTGATTGATTATGTGGGAGTACATGTCTATATATACACAAGGATTCCTAATCCTATACAAGATAGGAGACAATAATAGGAAAGAATATATTTACATTAAATATAGAATATATATTTAACATTATGTTATTACTTAAAAATATTACATAGACTTTTTAAATTAAAAAAACATTATAAATATTTTATATTGTTATCAACCATTTATTTTATTTTGTTACTTTTCAAAAAAATTATATGAGTTTTAAAATGAACGTTAAAATAATTTTAACATGTTATTTTAATTATTAATTGATTAAAAATAAAATAAATTTCAATATTCTTAAATTTGATGATCAATAATTTTGTATAAACTTTCCATTTCTAAGTCTTATACCAATATGTATTTCCTTATTCTAATTTTTTAATCTACATTATTATTTCAAAAAGAATATTATGTAATTAAATTTTATTACCCGAGTATATTTTTTAAAAAATTAATAAAGCTTTATATAAAATTTAAAACTACACACTATTTTCCTTTTTATTGCTTTTAAAAAACAATGTTTTATTTAAAATTCAACAAATGTGCATCATTATTAACACTATAATTTTTTTCTAAAAAATATCATATCTTATTATTAAAAAGATTTAGATGATGCATACTAATACTTATTGGAATATTAAATAAAAAACTAAATATTTTAGTTCAGAATATAATTTTATCAATATGTTACGAAGTAAAAAATTTAGAATATATAACAATCCGTGTGAAGCACAAGATTTAAAAGAGTTTAGAAAGTAGATGAGTGAAATCAGTATCTGGGGTGAATTTAGTATTTTGGTGGGGTAGGCTAACATTTTTGGTTTGATTTTGATGGAGAGGACAATGGAAGAATTTGTATTGGAGGAAGAACAATGGCCTGACTTGCGACTAATAATGGTGCCGCCACCCGCTGGGAGCGAAGACAAAAATTTTTAGGGAAAATTCCTTGGATAAGAGTATAAAACCATGGAAATACCAAAATAAGAGTCCTAAGTCTTTTAAGACCTAAATAGGTGTTTACACTACTATTGTTACACTGCCATACTCACCACATTGCCACATTGCAACTGTCACATTATCATTACTACACTACCATCTGTCCCCGTCGGCTATCAGAGTGCTGTCATGGATCACTGATAGTTGACTGATCACGCTACCATATTACACAAACATCAAATTATCAACGAGTACTCTTACATCACACCACCATTATACTCATGATTTAGTCTTAAAAGATTTAGACTCTTATTTTGGTATTTTTATACTTTTTTACTCCTAGGGAGATTTCTTAAAATTTTAGTTCACCAAGAGCGGTGGCTCTGATACCATTTTGGAATAATAATATTGCTTATTGAATTATAGAGTACATGATAGAGTACATATTGGAGAGACTTCTAACATATCAGAAATAGAAAAGGGAAACTGATTAAAATACAACATCTATCATAAACAAATTTTTCTTATTTTCGACTTTTAAATTTTCTTTTATTGATTTGTTTCTAGTTTTTTTTATTTTAGTTTTTAATTTAAAATTTTATTTTAATTTAATTTTAAAAAAATTATATAAATATTATAAAAGTAATATGTAAAAAAAATAAGGATAGAACGAGGATCTACAACCCTAAATGGGGATAAAATAAGAATGAAACAGGGAAATCAGATGTGGCGCTGAGTTAAAAGTGAGGATGATGGGGGTGGTGGTGACATCCCATAGCATAAGAGGTTGAGTTTGCCGGTGAGAGGGGTGTGCCCGGTACGTGATACTACCAGAACCCATCACAGGCCAATCTTATTTAAACACTTTGGTATTTGTAACGCCCCAAAACATACCCTAGAATTATTAATAAATAATTATTCAAATTAATCAAATTTGTTTTGATTAAAATAAATTGTTGTTGAGATTTGGGCCAATAAGAAATATGTTCTGATATCCAATATCACAATCTGGATAAATCTCATAGAGATAAATCTAATATATTGAGCATTTGTGTGGTCTTGATTGGGAACTTGAGTACAGACCTAAATCACGAATAAATAAAGAAACTAGTTATGTAGTGGACTTTAAAATGATTTATTGAAATAAATCATGATAATAATTAATATGAATTCGATATGAGAACTTTTTTGAATAAAAGTCAACTGAATCAATTTTGATTCTGTCAAAGTCAAACACCCAAAAATATGATGTCAGAGGGAGTAATCGTCGCCGGAAGTCGCCGGAGTTGGGAGTAATCGTCGCCGGAAGTTTTGCCAGAAAATTTCCAACACCTTCGTTAAGCTTTGAGGTAAGCCCGTAGATATATCTAATGACTAGAATGTTCGTATAGATCGTTTTTACGTTCATAAATGGTCATTTGGTTGAGTTTTGTGTTTGACATGCTTAAAGAACCGAGAATCATAAACCTTGAATTTGATGTTAAAATCATGAAGTAATGATACCAAATGATCTATGAACCTTGGAGAACATTTCTATATAGTTTAATTGAATTTTGGTAACATAAAACGAAGCTTGAGAAAAATGGCCGAAGGAGGAAGATGATGAATAGTAAAATCTGTGCTGATATGGGACCCTGGTACCGTGACTAGGTACCGTAAGAAGAAGAAAATTTTTAGAATGGTACGGTCGACCGTTCGGACCTAACGGTCGACCGTTACGAACATTTTTCAATCCGAAAATGCTATTTTTGAAGCTATAAAATCCTATTTTTGACACCAATTAATTATGAACAATATAAATATGATTTTGTACCATAAAAATGAAGTTTTTGACATAAAACATTGTGTGATGCATGACGGTAAGTACGGGTATTAACACTCGAATCTAGGCCGCTATTTGTTAATAAATGTTATTATGACTATTATAATCAAACCTTGATAACATCCTGAATAAATGGTTATTATAATGGATAATGGAATATCATTGATAATAAATATTGATTATGATGATCAAATGGACGACCCGAATAATTATGACTACATAACGATCATGATTTTATTATGACAAATAAAAGTATATGGAATTGAACGAAAGAACCGTAAAGATGAAATTATGAATAGATATGTTTGTTTGACTATCTTGAATTAAATTATGGTTATGAATCATCGAAACATAATTCAAAATGAATAAATTGATCGACAAGAAAATGATGTGTACTGTTAAGGATATCTAGAAGACTTTAAGATATATCTATTAGCTAGTTGATGGATTAGATGAAAATGCATAAACAGGATTCGTAGTCCAAACTAGAGGATCACTCGTTTGGAAATGCTCAATCCAATGTTGACCATTCGCTATATTGTTGTTGCCTTAACTCACTACAGTTAAGTGTCTGAAATCATTTGCATTAAACTAATGATAGTTTAAGTGTGTGATTGCCTTAACTGACTACAGTTAAGTGTCCGAAATCAATTGCCTTAAACTAATGATAATTTAAGTGTCTGATTAATAATTGCCTTTTAAGAATCTGGTTGTGGAAATTATGATTTGACCTTAGACTAAGAATAGCTAAGAGCATTATTATGACCTGGCCTTATACTGAGAATAGCTGATAGCGTTGTTATGATCTGGCCTTAGATTAAGAATAATTTAAGAGCACTATTGAAATAGTATCGGGATTGAATAAAATGTGTTGATATGAACTGAACAATACCAAAACTGTGAATGTCTGAAATGAACATTTTGTGCATGATATCAAATGATTTGATTATGAATTTAGATTCAGTTTATATGGATGTTCGACGCATTAGATATGCTTACTCAGCTTTACCGCTGAGCGTGTAGTGTGTTTTATTTACTACACGCAGGTAAAGTAGAAAGAACACTGTGATCCTGGAAGCAGATGGGGCGAGATTGTCGGGATGGATGTGACAAGTTTGAAATGATTTATGATATGTCAAAATTAAATTCGCTTCCGCAATATTGTTGAATACTCCGTACTGTATATGTTATGAAAAATATTACTGTGATAAATAAAAGTGTTTGAAAAGTTTTAAATTTTTACGATTTCCAAGTTAAAAACTTTAGTCCGAAAGGGGCTGCAGACATGGACGGATTAGGGTGTTACAGTATTAGTAAGAGATAAACCCCAAAATCATGGTACCATTCCGTTTTGAAACGTAATAGTACAATACCATATCCATGCTCAAACAGTGCCAAAAATTTAAACATGCATTACTTAAAGAACACTAAAATTAAATTTTTTTGTGACCCAATTGTTTTGAAACGACCAGGGTCGTGTATAATGCCGACATCGCGGGGTTTAGTCGTTGGCCGAGGCTGACTGTGTTTTGGCATTTCATGCTTTTGGACTTCTCTCGTTGGGCTTAGTAATGATTGGGTCTGATACCCCATGTCCAAGGTATCCATTAGAGGGACTATTATTAATCATGTTTCCGAATACCACACGGACATGTATAATTTTATTCTTTGAGTAAGACGACTACATTTTGAATTTTGTCACATTATTTAAATAAATTGAATTAAAAGGGAACGAAAAATCCTTATGTGGTCTTTGAGTCCTATATAGATTGTAGTACAAAAACGCCATGTAAGAATTAAGCTTTTTATATAAGAAAAAAGATCGACATGAAAATGTAAAATGTCTACCTGCCTCATGTAAATCATAGAAGGTTTAAGTTATTTGTATCCCAAGATTTATACCCAATTTGTACACCGTAGGTTTACAGTTTCATTTTGTGTGAGTGTAATACTATGGTGAATCATCAAAATATTAGTGTATATTTTTGGTGTAATTTTGGGGTACATTTTTTGGTGCAAGTGTAGCATTGGTGATCATAGAATCATTGAGTGAACTCATTCAAGTTTCATTATCCGTAATAAGACATCTAAATATTTAAATCAGATGGAAATTACACAATTGTGTTTTTGTTATAAAATGAGAGAAAAAAACTACTCAGAGATTAGGAAGATAAATATGATATATTTCTGATTTCTTCTCTATTGATTCTTCACTCTTCTTATTGTTCTTAATGGTGATTTGCAGGGATCCTAAGCCTCTTATTTATAGTAGAGAGGCTTAGTACTAACACTATTACAAATAGTATACATACTATACAAATGACAACTTGATGGTGATGATGGACAATTTGTTCCTGCAACTTATGATGGAGCATGACCTAATTAATTGATAAATGAAGAATTCATATTTTTCTTAACACTCCCCCTTGAATGTTCATTTTTCAATTGATGATGGATATTCGTGAAATGGGTATAGTTTAGAAACCCATTCTAATTTTATGTACTGCCTCGTTAAAAACCTTGTCAGGAAAAACCCAGTGGGATAAAAACCTGATCAAGGGAAAAAGAGTACAGTTCATAAAATTCTCCCCCTCAGCTTAGCATAATTGACGAAGGCGACGCATGCCAATCTTGTGTACGAGTTCTTCAAATTTCTTCGGGGGTAACGCTTTTGTAAATAAACCAGCGAGATTCTCACTGGACTTGATTTGCTTGATGTCAATTTTTCCATCTTTCTCGAGATCATGTGTTGAGAAGAACTTTGGTGATATATGCTTTGTTCGGTCTCCTTTGATGTAACCTCCTTTCACTTGAGCAATGCATGCAGTATTGTCTTCATATATAGGAGTCGGATGACTAGTAATTGTTTCTATACCGCAC